GGCTCCTGCACTAGAAGGCACATTGAACCTCATATGATCCAACAGGTACTCGTACCTGTCTATGTACTTGTACATGCAGGTCACTGTACCTAACCTGATAAAATCCAACAGAATAAGCCCGTTGGAGTTTGAGTGATACGGTATGGATTGGTCTATGCAGTATAGGATGACTTGCACTGAACAGTACCAAGCCTGGCAAAATCAAGCATACTCCAACAGCAAGCCAGACACTGCAGACAATGAACCCTGTGTGTCCCAACTCACACAGAATCCAACACCATCTCCCTGGGCCTTTCATCCCAAGTCTCACAAAATTCAACAAGTTCCTCAGGTACGGTACCAAACGTGCCGAAACCTCACAAAACCTGCTGTTGGAGTATGGCAGGTTTGGGGTAGTTAGGGTTAAAAGAGTCTTACGCAATGTAAATTAACTGGAGCATTTGAAACATTTTTTCCACCACATCATTTCCAAATCTATCCAGAACTGAGCGAAACATCAAAACAAAAGCTTGGTTGCTCTTTTCAATGCAAACTACATCAACATTACTGGGGGACAAAATACCCTTGAGACTCATTTTGAGGGATCCAGTCAAATGTAAGGCAGCACTTGATTCAGTCTTTGAAATACCCACTAGACCGGAGGATCAAGCCCAGAGATTTCAAGGCTAGACTTGCAGCATCGATACCAGCACAAGCCCAGCTATCTAGTGCTTTTTCTGGCACATTTATCGAGGCATTTTCCCAAAATATTTGTGAAATAAAAGAAACTAGTTCACATAAACATCTGCCCTCTTTCCGTTTTTTTTCGGCACCCGTTCCGCTTAATTGTCTTGGACGTAACGTTTCAGACAGTAATGTGTTCAACAAAACAGTTGATTCGTTCACTTCTGTCACGGTGTCAGTCGTGTACATGTAACAATGTTGAGGAAATTCTAGTCCAATGCCAGTTATTCTGCATGTAGCCTGATGTTCAATAAAAGCTGTGATACAAAGAATCTGCAGTGTGACAGATTTGGGAAGATTCAGGAAGGTTGCTAGACAATATTCCCAGGGCATACGTGTACATGTAAGTGTTCCTATATTTGACACAATCGCACAGGATGTGTATGACAGCGCTAATTAGACTGTCACCTTCCAATGGAGCCTGTCGGACAATCTTGTTGGATTCTGTAGGGCTGCTAAAACTGGCTTTCACAGCTAACTTTAGGGACAGTGACCATTTAGATCCGGTATGAAAAGGGCCCCCCCCCCAGTAAGCTCGTCTGGTAGCAAAAACCTTTTTCCTACCAGACCAGCTACCGGACTGGAAGACTGGTCCACTGGTTGATCATAGGCTCTTCCATACGGAGCACTATTGTGTGCAAGTGTTGACACGTTATCCATCCCAGAAGAAACCCTCTTTGATTTTTCACTCCCTAATGCGAAACAATAGCAATGCAAAACCCTGGCCTTGCGGATTGGTGCGGGATGGAATGTTAACTTACCAAGGCCCTTGCCAAGATTTTACTTCAAGAGCGTAAATAATTGATCCCCCGCCCCTGCACATCAAACATACCTCGACTCTAATGTACATGTAAATGTATGCACCGCGTGCATGTCAGTAATTAACATGTTCTTGCAAACTACATTTATTTTGGTTTCTACATCCTTCGGATGGTAATTGATGTGTGATGATTTCACTGACAAAAATGCTTTTGACCACTTTTTTAACCCAAAGTTTAATACAGCATTCCTAAATCTATGTGAACGGCCATTGATTTACGTTTGTTCTTTACTGGTTTGCAGTCCGGGTACCCTTTACGTTCCCCTTATGTGAAAACTACTTAATCAAATACTGAGCGTTATTAACATTAGAATTGATATGTGGACATCGATGAGAAAAGTACGGCATGTACTGGTCGGGGATAGTTCTTGAATACAATATCATGGCCTACTCTACTACTTCGAGAGAAAAAGTAAATTCCCCCCAAAACATTTCATACCCATTTTCTTAGGAATAATTGACAGGCCACTAATTACGGTTCAGACTGGAGAGAAATGAACTTAGCAGGGGAATAAAATCAGGAGCATATTTCTAATGAAATTTCTGACGAACTTTCATTCAAACGAAAAACTTATAGCCGACCGACTGTCATGTGTAAACAAAGTAAATTTTCCTGAGGTTTTTTCACCCGCCCCACCTCCAAATATTCCTTTCATTTCGAGCATCCAACCCACTGAAATATTAAACCTTCCCACTTCAGTATTTCTTTATCCCGACCTGGATCCTCTGAGAATTACTTTCCCTGCCCCACCATGTAAATATTATTTTTAGTCCGACCAACCAAACCCACCAAAAATATTAATCCTTCCTATCTCAGCATTTCTTTTCCATCAAAATCTCGACCATGTGTGTTTTTTTTTCGTTTCCCCGCCCTACCGTCAAATACTTTTATTCCGAGCATCCAACCCATCAAAAACATTAATCCTTCCCACCTCAGTTTTTCTTTATCTTTAGGCACAAGCTTCGGATGGGGCTTAGGATTATGGATGAGTGCCGGGCTTGCAGTAGGGACTTACTGGTCGCTGGCATCTGTCGGGGCCTGCCCTCCTGATGGACTGGTCCAGCCTGATGACGTCGGCAGCTCCTCGGTGGAACTGTGGGACGCTATACTGTTGCAACTTCGCATGGAGGTCGGCGAGGTCTCCAAGGAATCTGACCCAAGGAAAGAAAAATTCTGTGAACATTTCCAAAGATACGTGTCATTTTCACAACCACCTTTCAGAAAAAGGGCCAGTGACTTCCCACTTTAGGGAACTTTGATTCAGTGAAAACAAATCCAAGGGTCACGGGACGAGACTGCAGAATCAATCAAAATCCACGACAAATCCAGCAGTGGGGTTGTAATAATTACAGTGAAATACTGTTATATCATAAATGTCTATGATTACACCAAACTTATCTTATGCGCTACAAAAGCACCGGTAACAAAACTCAAAGAATTAAACCTCTGAACATTCAGAATTTTCAGGTCAACCATCCTCAAATCTAGAAAAACTGAAAAATCAATCTCTTTTCTCTGCCTCTTCTGCCACAGAATTTCATTTTCCAGATGAAACGTCAAAGGCAGCGACTGAAATGGGCCCTGATGATCTCAGCCAATGACGCAGAATATAACCCACAAAGCCCACTGCGGCTCAAAGCTGAAGAGGAAGATTACCATAGATGAAGCTGTTCTTGTTGCTGGGTATCGACAGGGACCCCACCAAGTTTTTCTTGAAGGCCGCATAGCTGTCGTTCGTTTCTACCGAGGCCGAGAACGACGCGGGAAGATCCCCAAGGTTTTTGCTCTTGCCACGAGCAGAGTGCTGTCGCCTGAGAGACGAGGCGGGGCTGCTGGCCAGGCCTTTCGACGGTGATGCCTGAAGCCAAGAAAAGTGGGAATGAATGCTTCTCAATGCAAGCTCTGTTTGGCATCGCAATACAACATTAGTATTTCTTCAAATAACCGTGTACATTTAATAGGATTTTTATGACTCGAATACATGGACAACGGCTTTATTTGCATGTTATGATGGCTTTCCACCTCCTTTGTAGCAGGAAAAAGGAAAAACGTCCACATTTCAAATTTCATGCTTGCGAAGATTTCTATACTCGTGAGTCAAAGCATGTTGCCATTCAAGGCAGGACAGGAGTATCTCCATAGACCTGTGTACAACATGCTGTGCATGTACATGTATGTATCACATGTCTCTACATGTACATTGTCTTGGTGTACGTTCCGCTTTATACTTGATTTTCATGTTAACTTGTTTGAACACAGCAGTGGCCAATATTTTTTTAAAACATTGCTGATGGGTGACTTTGAAGGATTACACTATTACGTTCTTACACTCTTCTGACAGGGAGTGCCTTGTACATATAACATCAAAACAACGTCCTTTCACAAATATTGAACGATGAAAAAATACCTGTACTTCCTTTTCACTTTCAATGAAAAAAGGGTTTAGATCTCATTTCTACGGTTGTAACACATAGTAATATGCATGAAAAGAAATGCAGCTGAATATCCACGGCAGGTTTCCTTTAGCTCAGCATGTCAAGCAACTTTCACCGAAAGTGGGAAGGTTCCTCACAGAATATACTGCATTCAACCCTAGCTAACTTCTGTCTATGCACATGCCAAATTTCACAAGCTCACGTAAATTCCACAGGGGTAGAAATTAACTTCTCTAGTGCAGCGAGAAGGTAGCAAAAAAGGGTCTTTTTACGGGGTTAACAGCTGTAGATTCGTGACTGACTATCAGACTCATAGAGAAACACTCACAGTCGTCGGTTTGTAGGTTAACGTCCGAGACAATTTCACTTGGTTCCGGTTGCTCTTCACGCAGGAAAAGAGATCCCGCACCTCCTACAGATGAGAATTTATATTAAATATGAAGCAGCTGTTGCCAAGATCTTCTACCCACGGGGGACAACTGTTGTCAGAGTGGGGACACGGTTATCTTGCGTGTTGGAAATATTTGAACTGCAGACTGATGGGGTTATCATCGGTGGGCGTCATTTACCGCCTCGGGTGTGAGGTGAGCACTTCCGGGCAAGCCTTCACCACTTTGTGGGGACAGATTCTTTTAAGCCAATTAGGACCAAGTTGTGGGGACATTTCTCTGTCCCCACGGCATTTTTCGGTCCTCACACAATAGGTGAAATAACAGGTGCTTGTCCCCGCAACCATGGAAGAAGTTTGTATGCTCCACACACACACACACATGTAAGTGTGAATTTGTTTCTGCATTCAATTGGGGACCCTGAACAATAGCGGACAATAAGGTCCCCAATTGACAGAGGGTCCCCGATTGTACTGTGTACAAAACATATGGCTGGTCTTCTAAAAAAGTTGAAGTACGAACAATAGAGGAACAATAGGAGGTCCCCAGTTGCAGGCAAATACACACAAGTACATGTATACACACACGCTATTGTTCAGGGTCCCCAATTGAATGCAGAAACAAACTCACACTCACCCCTTTCGAATACCTGGTGTGTCAACAATACAAATGCTTCTTTGCAGGAAAGATGACTCAAAAAAAGACTCATCTTTCAATTGTCCAAGAGGACAGTTACTGCTACCCAGGCCGAGTTTACAAAGAAAGTGCCATCATGTGTTGACAAAGTGTAGGGGTTTGGTAAAATGTCCAAAATACAACCCTGCATGTGCATGTGTCATTCCAGAAATTCGGGGTCTTTTTTTGTGTGTGTCCCTGTCACATCTGACATATGATTTTGTAAGTTCAGAACACATTTTTTAATTTCCAAGAGTGATGAATTATAGCAAATGACCTGCCAAACAAATAGTAATAGTTTAAAATCAATTCCAGTGATAATTCAATGTCAAATAACAAAGGTCAGATGTAACAGCAACACAAAAACGTCACACTTTTGGACCCATAATTTCTGGAATTACCCACACATTAGTGATATGATTATGTTTCAAATTTAGTACATTACATGTACACGTACGTGTACATGTATGCTCACATGTGCACATGACAAATACCTACATGTACATACTGAGTACATTTGAATACATGTATACAGACTTGTTACAAAGAAATTTGGAAAGTTTCCAAACTAGCCTTCAAGGAAGGAAGTTAAAGTGGATATGGCGATTTGTGCTGAAAGCCTAATGGACCAGACTGCACGTACACGTATGAACCCATTCAGACATTCAGGCTTTTCAGGTGGAGAACAGTACATGAGAAACTGGATTCAAATCTGGACAAATCTGTACAAAGGCTCTTTCGTTTGTTATTCACACAGGGTTCGTTCATCAACATATTCTGTTTTCTTCACACCAAAAAAAACAAAAACAAACAACAAACAGAATTAGGGAACCACATGTAAATGTGTCACTGGAGAATCTATGTACAGCCCCAGGAATACCAATGTCAAGAGGCAAATCACCAGGGCGACCCTACCGTACCTGTAGATTCTGTAGCCACTGCATCATGGACCGGTGGTTCTCTGCTATCAGAATATGCTCTTTTCCTCGGCACCTGTGCACAGAATGAAACAGGAGCTTGAGCTTCAGATGACTGGCAGATTTTTTTAGAGGGGTTTTTGTTTCAGAGTGCCTTCACGGAATAGACAGTCGGCCAGCTCGTTTCACTTTCACGGCCGCCACTGAGCAACCACATTACTGTATGAGTCGTGTTGCAACAGAGCAATTCACAAATCTACTTTTTATAGCCATGACAGATTCGGAATCATCAGGACTTTTCCGATAGGTACATGTACATGTAGATTTTTTTCTCTCCACTACTGCTTTGCCCACACCCTCACAGGAAATTCCAAAAATCAAGGTGGCAGTGCAAGACCTGTGCCAACAATGTGCACCTACAAATCAACACAAAAACACACGATGGAAACGAAACACCACACCTCAAATGTGAGATAAAAAAACAGAAACAGAAACCAACAGAAACAGAAAAGAGTGACCTGGGCATACCTCGTTATTTGTAAGAAAAACCTAGCAAGATCTTCATGTCATTTTTATAGAAGCACAAGTCCATTGTTAGGATCTACACGTACACTGTAGCTCTGTGACAGCAAAGATGCAAAGATAAATGTATTTGTACAGGTCTGTTGCTACTGAACTCGTTCATGTACATGTACATTTGTCGGTGCGCTGTAAGATGGAATGGTTCTAACGAGGTACAGGTGCACTTACATGGTACATGCAGATCACAGCTTACTTCCTAAATCATTCAGCCTATTAGTACATGTACAAAAGTTTTAAAGGCACATACACGTACATGTATCTGTGAGTATACATGTACATGTTGTTGTTTTTTTCTTTGTAAATATGCGACTGCATTTAGTCATCAACTCTAGGAAATGTTGCTCGGTGAATTCACACGATATACTTTCCAACATGGACGGCAAGTGAGATATCCATGGGGAATTTCATTTCGAATTTAGGAGAACCGTGAGGCCTGATGTACATGTAAGCACTTGAACTTCTGTTGATGAATGTTGGAACAAATATAGGTTGGCAGATGTCAATTGAGAATTTTGAAGTGGATACATGTAGCTTCTGACATGTCTAATGCAGAAGTAATCCTTGAATATGCCGATATTGTCAACCAAATCACTACCAAAACTATCTACTAAATCAATCACTTGACCTTCAGCAAGAGCAGATGGGCAAAAGGACATCGTGCACTGCACACAGTACCAGTGCATGCAAAGTACATGTACATGTATGTACCTTAGCCAGTGCTCACTGTGTTGTAGGGAAGATGTCTCATAAGGACACTTTGGACCAGATTGTGGGGAGTTTCGTGTGTTATCGCAATGTTCTGAGTCTCCAATAGTACACATACATACATGTACTATTATATAACGTCTGTGAAGTCCCTACACAAGCACATTTTGTGCAGGCGTGGCATCCATACATGTACATGTAGTATTGACCTCTGCACAAAAGAAGTCCACATAATGTACCCGTAGGGTGCGATGGCGTTGTGTGAACTCGCGAACATCCACACAATGTTTCCCCCTCTCTGAAAAACAGTTTCAGAGGCATTTGGGGGTCAAGGTTATCCGTGGGAAAATGATGAGAAGCAGTGAAATCATCATCAAAAATCCAGCTCAAAGGAGTTATCCTAGTAAGAGAAAAAGGAGCATTTTCCTCAAGTTTCCTGAACCAAAGGAGAACAAAGGAATGTCCATACTTTGTATGTTGGCGAGTGCATGCATTCATACTGGTACTAATCTACGTTCATGTACATGTGTGTTCCCATGGGTAGGCATTCACCGCGTGATACATGAACATGTATGTGTGTAATGAGGCACTGGTATTTCCCTCTCAGCGCCATGTCAACATCATCTGCCTGATTCATCCAGGAAGTGTAATTAAAAACCACCCAAATAGTTTTCATGTCAACCTCTGAACCTGTGTGTTGAAATCACCAACCTTTTCCTACGCACTCACCAGCAACACACTGACCTACATGTACATGCACACCTACGACCATGTTACTGCACCTCATAACGTTATACATGTACATTAGGCCACTTAAAGGCATTTCCTGGCCGAGCCAAAACGGCTTCAGACGCACTTCAACTCTGACAAGCAGTTCTCAGTGCCCTTATGAACTGCGTGTAGAATCACGGCCCCTTCCTTCCTCACGCCTCCAAACGGAGTTGTGATTCTCGTTCAATACTAGGAATCAATTCTATTCACTCAGCGGCACAATGAGCACACACTGACTACCCATACACAGTCATGTCTCCCAAACACCTGACACTAACTCCATCCCTCCCCAAAAAAACAGGCATATTTCTAACAGACACAGCTCTTTTTGCTTACATGTCTGTAAGCACTGTACATGTCTGTCCATTGCAAATTCAGCAAACAGTGCCAGTTCAGCTTACACACCGGTTACGTGTAACGGTGAAATGATTCAAGATCATTCAATGCAACGTTTGCTCTTGAATGGAGCTGACAAGAAGACCTTCAGGAAATACTGGGTGGATCGAAATTTCCGACACGGAGGGATGACAGCAGGCCGCAACATGAAGGAGTGGAATAGACTAACCTCTGGGAGAGATGAGACCGATGTCTTCGAGGAGAGAGTTCACATGATGCCACTTTGTCCTTCCAAGGCACAGCTCGGTCCAACTTTGTTCGGGAAGATGCCAAAGAGTACATGCAGTGCCGACCCACTCTACAAAACTACTTGGAACTGTCTTCACGTAACAAATCATACAGCTCTGGCATTGTGCACACGTGTGTACGGTTGGGGCCTACTCTCCCCCGATCCCCCATGGGTTCTGACATTTCAATCTCCCCAGGATTTGACACAGTTTGATTTCCTCCAACAGTGCCGGCTAAGCCAGAGATAACCGTTATACACAGGAATACACATGTATATGTCTGAGGAGTTTTTATCAACAGTGCAGATTCCCTTTATGATTATTACAAGACAAATTCGGCCAGACACTGGTTCACGAGACAACTTCGCTTGACTCACCAATCGAGACGAGTCGAAGATTTTGGCACCGATGCTCTTGGTGACTCAATGAATCGCATCGCCTTTGTCTACATGTTTTTTTTCTCAGCGGGTTGAGAAAATCTTTCTTAATCCTTACTAGGGCAAGCTATGACATAACTTGAACCCAGACAATGACTTGACCTATGGATGACTCATGACCTGCTTCGAGATACGGTACATGTAGGTGCTACAGCACACATATAGCGGTACATACATTGTGCATGTCCGTTTATGAGTGCTGTAGCACCTACACTGGAATGGAACAATGGAAGTACGGGTACAGTATGGATGCAACCAATAGACATTAATCATTCACGGCAACGTGCGCTTCCTAAAATGCCAAAACGCTGACCCCAGTGGAGGCTTAAGCTACATGTACCAGTACATAACCTTTTCTGCTCAAAGAAAGTCACCATAACAGAGCAGAAATGAACACCTCATCTCAGCATTTCTTGGAAACAGCTGAGCAACATGTACAAGGCACATGTACATGTATCTCAACAGGTGCATGTACAAATGTACATGTACATGTGCAAGTGGCGAAATTCCCTGAAATCGCGTACAGAAATGTGCAACAGTTACATGTGCCTATTACATGTATACACGAGTGTGTCAACGCCTTCAATCGTGGACTCCCTATTGTTCCTCTTTTGTTCATACTTTTTTCGGAAGACCTCCCATATGTTTTGTTGACGTTTTCCAACCGTGGACTCTTCGGCAACTGTGGACCTTATTGTCCCCTATTGTTATAGATCCACGATTTGAATGTGTATACAAACTCATGTACACATGCAAGAATGTGTTTAGTGGTGTTTATCAAGAATTTGCTAGCTATTAACTGAAGAGAAACTACTAAACAGAACCGATTCTTGGTTCAGACTGCCCAAAACGTACCTTGACTTCCACTTGCATACATGTACATGAACATGTGACAACACCGAGCCCTGCCATGAACCAAGGAAAGAGGCACAGAGTTGGACCATACGCATTTTTCCTTTTTCTCCAACTAGGATAACTCCTTCGAGCTGGATTTTTGATGATGACTTCCAGGACTGTTCCTTTTCATTTTGCTACGGATTACCTTGACCCCCAAATGCCTCTGAAACTGTTTTTCAGCGAGGGGGAAACATTGTGTGGACGTGTGCGAGTCCACACAACGCCATCATACCCTACATTACGTGGACTTCTTTTGTGCAGAGGTCCACACTACGTATGCCATGCCTGCACATCACTTAACACCTTGGCCTGTGCACAAACCCTATAAGACTGGTCTGGAAATTTCTTAGTGTTTTCGAAGTTAATGCTGTGTTCCCTGGCTAATTTTGACTTTTCCGTACATGTTATCTCTTTCTGATGACTAATAAACAACTGCAGAGGAAAAAAGAGTGATGTCCGTACAGTTTATGGAACTCTTTCCCCAATGCAACTGCAAGATAGTGCTCCAAATTCCCAACTACATGTAGAGTAGTAATTTTCACTTTGACTGGGGGCTCCAAGTGGGACCAAAAGAGGGCGCAATTTCCTCACAGCAGAGGCTCCTTTGGAGGGAAAAGCACTTCACTGGTTCACGAACGACTATGAAATAATACATGCGACACGGTCACGTCACTACCGACAAAAGGAACGCTCCTAACAAACATGGCTCTTTTCAAGCAATGAGGGGGTGCTTCTGCTCAAGGCTGATTCGCCTGATTCAAATCGCAGACAAAATGACGGCTTCCGATGCCAGCATTTTTTACAATAAAGTGGAGGAACACACAAAGCAATTTACACTTCATAAGTAATGTTGACGTGCTTTGACAAAAGCTCCACATTAGGGAATGGAAAATGTCCGTGGACGTTTTTGGTCCAAACGTGACGTGAATATGAAAGAGGGGAAAGCGAGATCTTTCAACTCGATGCATTGCTAATCACGTCAGCTCGTGTTTAGTTTGGATTGTGGGACCATGTCCCCAATGGCTATCACCTGCTCACGGCCATTTCCACAGAGTACGGATTTGAAGTTTACAAAACTTGTGCTGCCTGTACATTTGTACACGTATTGTATACATGTGCACTTTTGGTTGGGTGCAATGCTACCGGTACAAGTTTGTACAATTTACAATGTACGTGTACATTCTCACCATTTCTTTCTGGTTTATCTCGAAAGTACAGGTATTCACCATGCAGGGGTAATGTAAAATAACGTTGTAGCCGGTACCCTGAATTCAGTTTGAAGACTACACCTGCACAGTACAAGTAGACATGTATCCTACACATTCATCGGTACATTGTATCAAGCTTGGACATAAAACTTTGGGAGGGAAGTAGGGATAGGGGAAGGAGGGGGGAGGAG